CTCTCCCCGATCGTCAATTTCTATCTCTCTCCTTCTCTGCCAGTCATCCAAGCCCTAGAGTGCACTTAGGTGATCAATCTTCATCCTCTCAGGGCTGTCAAAGTACTGGGTCAAGCCACATGCACATACACACACACATGAGCATGCATTCACCATAACAAGTGGACAGCAAATGCCAGGATTTACATGTGATCACAACAGGGGGGCAGTGACAATCGCTGGGAGCCCACATGCCTGGATGTAATCACACAGTAAACACAAATGTACTCAATCACAGGCAGTCGCTTCCCTCACACCAGTTATTCTCTTCTTTCCTATAGCTGGCGGTTCTAATCCGATGGAGGACGCGTACTGCCAGCGTAGGCGTTGGTGTGACTTTTTGGCTCTGTCTTGCTGGCTCTCGCCCAGTCACAGGGTGCAGCAGCTCCAGACATTCCCTCCTCATCCTCCATTGCAGCCAGGACCACCGAGCAGTGGGGGCTCAGTCTGGGCTGGAGGGTGGAGTTCTGGGCTCAGTCGCAGGGACGGGCTCTGAGCCATGCCCCACCCCACCACCTGAATATGGACAAAGATTGGCTCTATGGGGGGGAAATATAAATTTATAATTTAGTTTTGTTTCACTAAAGACCCCTGAACCCTTCCTGACAGCAGATACAAAAACATAAAAAAAAACAATCTCCCTCTGAACGTTTTGCACGTCCCACTGGCAGCATAGGTCCTGATAAACACCTGCAGGATTTTTATTTTTTTCATTTCTTAAAGGTGTTCTTGTTTGACACTGTGCCTCTCGCCGATCAAGCATAACAACACGTTGCTCCAGCCCCGGCTGAGTGTAGACCAGATATCAGTGTGGTTGAATTAAACATGGCCTGTCCTCATAAATACTGCACTGGGCCAGCACTCGGGGGACTTTATTTGGACCCATCAGAGCTAGAAGCTCCAGTGCCCAGCAGGAGAAACACAGCTCCGCAGTTTGCAGAGTAAAAACGTTAAGCTCGATGGGCGGTTGAGCATGCTAGCGGGGATGACGGCAGCGACCCTCTAGCTGCATGCCTCATGAATAGTAATACCCTGCATGAATGCTCTGTTCGCCCAGTAAGTGTTCTTTGTGTACTGGCAAAGGCACACGTGTAGCGTGTGTGAAAGTGGTTTGTATTTCCTGCCAGCTCTCTCCAGGTAGCATGCATAATAGCTTTGAAATGCTCAGCTTTTTGTGTCAGGCTTTGTGATGGGGTAGAGATTGCTTCCGAGTGACACACTCAGGAGTCATTTCCTTTTGTGATTCAGAGGGTTGCTAGTAGAGGTTCCTCTGTGAACAAAATTGTGTAAATAACCATTTAGAAATTACCCCGCGGGGTGTTAGAGAGGAAAGTTAGACCTCGTGGTTTTCCTCCTGACCTCGGGTTCATATCAGTGAAACTCTATGTACAACCCCTTAAAAGAGTTTTTAGCCTTTGCAATGCTACAAAAACAGGATTGCTATTTGTTTTAGACGTGCTTTACTTAATAAATCAAAGTAGTTCATTCTTAAAAAGCAAAAGGATGACTATACTTTATAGAGGGATCTTCAACGTCTTTCAGATTGGAACCCTCAGGTACGTCCAGGTGGGGCCTGGTGGTGTTACTGTAGACATTTCTGACAACTGATTGAGGATTACTGACAAAAACACAAAAATTAGGTGGATGCAAGATTTCTGCCTAAACTTATTCAACAAAATAAATCAAGTTACTGGAACTACCTCAGGTTATCCTGAGCTATCTCTATAGTTATGCTGTTATAAGCTTAGACGAGCTCCGAGCCAGCTCCCATGTCAGACGATGAAGAGAGCACATCCAGTTAGTCAAAGTCAGAGAAACAGGACTACACTGGAAAACAGGCCAAGCTCCAACATCTAGAAACAAAGGTGTTGATGGCAGCAGCACAGCTGATATTTCTCTCCAGGATGGAGTCACAGCCAAACAGGAACAGACCAGATGAAGCTACTATGAGAAAAAGCAGAGAGAGCAGAACGTTAGAGATTGAACTAACAGATTCTGCAGAGTGGGAGAATAGAGATAGAATGAAGCAGAATGATGAAAAAGGGGTCCCTATGTCCTCCAGCAGTCTAAGCCTATAGCAGCGAACATCTATCTAAACATCTAGCTTCTAAAATTGTTACACAGAATTTTCTTTAAGTATATCAGAGTAGTGGGACTGAATACATATTTATGGGGCTTTTTGTTTTATTGCAGAAATACCAAGAATAAAAGGAAAAATGTGCGACAGTCTAACCAGCTTTTAAAAGATAACCCTGCCCTGAGCTCTGAAGTCCAACCTTTCTCCGACTTTACTCCTAATTCTTTATATCTTAACTCTCACTTTGGTAGCTTGGTGATGTTTGATGTGTTTTAAATGGTATGGATTTGCACCATGGCTGACATGAAGTCTCCAGCTCCCTCCTTCGCATAGTCAGAAATTATTATTGACTAGCAAGTTCAAAGAGGAGCTTTCATCTTAATTGCGTCACACATTTCAATTTTATATAACACAGACTCGGCTGGATTTTAAACGCTTTCTCCAAACAGTTGCGGAATACAAATGTACCTATTCAATAAACCCATTTGGGTGGTGTAAACGGCAAACTCACTTCAAGGGAGAAAAAGTTAGCTTGCATTCAGAGAGAGACACGTTTAGACAGCTTCTGTGTCGCCGTGGAGATAGCATTGCTATGAGGATGTCTTATTGCCAATTAAACGGTCAGTTACGTAGCTTTCAGTTTGAACCCTCAGAAGTGTCTACCATGAGCAGACAGAGGTTTATAAGTTCTTAGGGTGGATTTTGTTCACTTTGGATGCATAATTATGAGACAGAATGACATGTTTATCATTTTCAGAGGTTCCTTTAGGTGAACTCTGTCTCCAACCTTTAATATTTCAGAACTGACTACAGCCATATATTCAGCTAAAAACACCAGATGAGATTTGTGTGTATATATTATGGGCAGAGGTGGAAAGAGTACTAAAGAATTGTAATTGAGTAAAAGTATCTTTACTTTGCCTAAATTCTACTAAAAGTAAAATTACCCATCTCAAAATTTACTCAAGTAAAAGTACAAAATTACTTCATTTAAAATGTAATTTGAGTAAAAGTTACTTAGTTACTTTGAGTTATTTAATGCAAAAAAGGATGAGTGATGAATCAAATTGAGCACAAGGTGTTTTAATCGATTTCAAGGCGTATTTCAGTGGATCTTTAGCCCAGCTGCAAAAGATCAGCTGGGCTAAAGATCATACTTCCTCACAGCACAAGGACAGTCACAACCTGAACCACAAAGTGCAAACAATTTTCAATCCTACTGTCCAACAGACACCATTATAGGAATAAAGATATTTAAACTACATTTTAAAGTTTTCAAAATGCACACAAAATTAAATGCCCAAAAGATACCAGAAATCAAACTAAAATGCAACAGGATCCCACTGTTATTAACAAGCTCCTCATTTAATGATTTTAACTGACACTTATTTTTACATCAATTGTTTATATGTTTGAATTGTGTAAATAAAGTGCTGTTAAAAGTCAAAAGTCTTCTTCTATTTTTTAATGGCGATTATGTCTCGGGGTTTAAATTTCCGGCCGCATTTAATGTTTTCACCATCAGTATTTTTTTTTTTTTTACTCAGTAACCTGAGGGGGTTTTAAATGTAGCAAAGTAAAACTACTTAGGTTAAAATGTACTCGAGTAAAAGTAAAAATTACATATTTCAAAAACTACTCAGAAAATTACAAATTACTCATAAGAAGTACTCAATTGCAGTAACTTGAGTAAATGTAATTCGTTACTTTCCACCCCTGATTATGGGAAATACTAAGAAATACCATTTTATAGTATTTACACACAAAAAAAACCCCAAAACAGCCAGGTTTCATAATTCACAAAATGTAAAGAATTGTTAATCACAGGAAGGTTTAACTTGAACATATATTAGAGTTTTATGTTTGTCTAAAAAGATTGTCTGGAAGAAGAATTACAAAGAAACATTTATGTTCTTTCATAAATTAAATTATGTTTAATTATAAATACCAAATGCTGGTGAAGATTCTCAGTCATTCAGGTCAGAGTCATTCCAAAAAAGTTCAAATCAATCCACTGGACTTTGTTTCCAAGTTTGAAGACGTTTCTCTTCCATCCAGGAAGCTTTTGCCGGACCAATAGACTAGAACTCTTTTGTAGCCCACGCCATCACACTGTACAACGCCTCACTGGCGTAAAATGTAAACTCCATATTTATCAGGACAAACCACATAGTGCAAACCATATTACTGGTCAATCTATCCGCCAAACTCCTCTATTACATACACACAACTCCTATCATATACACTGTACTTAATCTGTATTACTTTTTGTATACACACATATATATATATATATATATATATATATATATATATATATATATATATATATATATATATATATATATATATATATACATACATACATATGTATACACATATATATATATATATATATATATACATACATACATATGTATACACATATATATATATATATATATATACATATATATATATATAAATAAATATGTATATTTTTTTTCTATGTCGAGGCTCCATCCATTCACATTGTTTTTGTCAGTGTGAATTGGTACTGCTTACATATGGTGAGTTCACTGACCATAAAACTGATCAGATTTTTGGGTTTCTAACCAGCTGCTCTCTTTTAGGTATAATATTTGAAAATCATCTGGTTTTCTCAGACGCTGATCTTTAACCAGATCTCTGCTGGTTATTCTGGGTTTCTTTGTCTGCTTGGCTTACAGACTTTTGGCTTGCAGCACTTTTCCTTTTTGCTATTTTGCTATTTTGTTTTTTGTCTGCACCAACAACACCAAGTCAAATTCCTTGTAAGTGCAAACCTACTTGGCAATAAACTTGATTCTGATTCTGATTCTGATTTTCCTTTCAGCAGCAAAGAAAATGTGTTTTTTTCGCTTACCTGGTTTCCAGTGGGACATTGCTATTAAGCACCCAGCTGTCCTGTAGCTGGACCGACTCCGGGGTGGTCGGTCCATCTCCAGTGCCCGGGGGCGGGGCGTGAATAGGGTTCCGTCCCCCTCTCAAGGTGTTTCTGTTTAGGCTGTTTGCAGACTGGTGGGACAGGTTGTGGTGGTTGTGTGGAGGGGGCAGAGGAGGCTGCAGCGTGGACTGACTGTGGTGGTTAGCGGCTC